GCTGGTGCAGCTGGTGCAGGGATCACTCCTTGAAGAGCCAGGCCCTGGAGGAGTGAGGCTGACTCAGGTCAGGCTGGTGGCCATTTAGGGAGCAGCAAGTATTTCTCATTTCCAATTTTTTGTGTTTCTATGAACTATCTCAATCATCTTCACACTCTTACATTTGTTTCTCTAGGTTAGTTGGCCCTAATCTATAAAGTTAAAAAACAAGCAGCAAAATAAAGCATTTAATAGTTAGTTATTCAGAGAAAAAAGCCTTATCCAGGTCTACCTTACTCTGAGCTCTGTGACCTTCCCCACTCCACGCCCTGTGTAACTGGAAATGAAGAAAGTACCATACAATGGACGTAGAACTCTGCCAACTTCACTTTATCCCAACAATGTGAAACAGTAATTATCTCTATAAAATGTACAAAAGGAACTGCCAGGTCACCTACAAGTGACATGTCAAGTCCCTTGGTTTTATTTTACTTTATTCTTTCTTTTATTTTTTTTTTAAACTTGCCAGAGGGACAGGAGAGACAGGAGGGGGGAAGCACCCCCAGTGCGGTGTGGTCACACTGCAAACCCTTCTCCATTTCTCCGTCCTGTTGGGATTTGGGGTAAGCAAGCACATGTGCCCAGCATGGTTCTCAGGCTTCTGGGCCGGGCCTTGAACCACATGGTCATCCACGTGGAATCCAGCTCCCTCAACCACCAGGCTATGGGGCAGCCCTTATTTTGCTCTTTCTGTTGGTTGCTTCTTTCATTCCTTTTCAGTCAAAAAAAAAATTAAATTGTTCTTTAATCAGTACAGGCTGCTCGGTGCTTAGGCACACGTGTAACCCGGGCCTCTAGTGCACAACTAGATTGGAGAGCTCAGACACAGACTCCTCCTAACCTGTAAAGCAAAATACAAACATGCAATTGGTGCTGCAGACAAAACACTGTCGCCATCGGAGACACACGCGAGCAGCGCCACGTGAGATACTCAGAGGCTGCCCCATGGATATGTTGGTGTCTAGTGCAGATCTTAGCAGATGGACAGAACTGCATAGGAGACACTGAGTAGGGCATCCTGTCAAAGGAGAGGAAAGTAAAGGGAAGACAGAAAAACACAGGTTAGTAACAGATGGGTAGGAGGTGTGGGTCTGTTTTTATCCCTGGCTGCACATTAGGAAACACATCAAAAGCTCCATCCTGAAACTCTCTAGGGAAGAAACACATCAAAAGCTCCATCCTGAAACTCTAGGGGCCAACCTAGGCAACTATAATTTTTTAAAGTTTGTTTTGTTTTGTTTTGTTTTGCCATAGAGCATAACACACTTCTCCAATCTCCTCTTGGGATTTTGGGCATGCACATATATGAGCCCGCTGTGATTTTTAGGCCACCAGGTCTGGACTGAAACTGCAGTTGAATATGTGAGCATGCAGTACCTTAACCACTATGCCACCTGCTGGCCCTGGCATCCATATTTTTTAAATGCTCTCCAGGTGATTCCAATGTGCAGGTCATAAACACTGATATAAAGAAATAAGTTTTTTGGAGAGCTTTTTGCTATAGAGTGTGTGCACTCTCCAGAAAGACAGAGAGCAACAGAAAGCGAGAAATCACTCCCCAGACCGGATGGCCACGCCACAACCCCTTCTCTGCCATTCTCCTCTCAGGATCTTGGGCACGCACACACATGCGCCTGGCGTGAGTTTAAGCCACCGGGTCCAGGACTCGAACTGCAGTTGACTACATGGGAGTCCAGTGATGTAGCCATTATGACATCTGCTGGTCCCAAGAAATAAGTTTAAGAGTCACTAAATATTGTTTTTGAATGTCAGTCTTTAGGCATAAAATAGTGATATGCCAGGCACATGTGCATGTGTGCCCAAGATCCCTGGGGGAGAGTGGAGAAGGGATTATGGCATGGCCATCCCCCCCCCCGGGGGGGTTGATTTCTCACTTTCCCTCTCACTGTCTCTTTCTATGCTCCCCCCCACTCCCACTGAGTTCATGTGCCCTAAGGGTATATTGTCTAGTCCCTTGGTTCTTCATCTTTCCCGCTCACTCTCTCTCCACATCTCCCAGGAGTGCTGCAGAGCAGAGATTAGGTGCCACGCTGCCTGATTCACAGTTAGGAAAGGACAATTAGAAAAAGGGACCGTGCTCTACCGGTATTGGTGCCTCCAGTTAGTATCCACGCTCCTGTGGTCTCCGCAGCTTTGACCAGGCCTTGGCTGAAGATCTTCTTAAGCTTAGAGGATATCTTGAAGTCCTGAATGCCCCCATGGACAGAGATCACCAGCTTAGGCAGTTTCATCTTCCACTCTTCCGACATTAAATGTAACAGATGATCCAATTTTGTGTCGTAAGAAGTTCTAATATACTAGGAGACACACACATATGAAATGAACAGAAAACAGTAAAAAGATGCCAGATACAGAAGCAATGAACACACAGCAGGGTGACTGCAATGGCCAACACCCAAAAGCACGTGTCTGGGAGCTTTTGTTCTTCTTCTGTAATGGAAATAATTACTTTTAAAAGATCCCACACTCCCTTTAATCTTCTGGGAATTGCAAGTCACTGCAGGACTTGCATGGCTGACCTACCAATATCCTTCAAAAAACTCAAAGTGAAGCAGAAATACCTCAAAAATGGTCAAAAATCACTACATCAACAAACCCACGAATAAATGTCTTTAACAAATAGAGGAAATGGGATTGTTCACAAAATGCTATGGCTCTTCATCTCTTGACTGCTCCAGGTATTTGCATAATTTTAAATAAAAATCAGGAGCATGTACATTTAATTTATTATAAGTTTTACTTTCTAAGTATTTCCTTTATATATCACTAACCCTCTGAAAACATTTTTTTTTCAAAA